GGTGCTTTATTTGTGGTTCAGGCAAAGGGAACACCGATTTCATAACCAATTTTACATGAAGAGACTCGACAGATGGAAAAAGCGGTATGCCATCAGGCAGCTAAACGTGTGTGGAGAAAAGCTATTTGCAAATTTAGAAAATGCTGCAATATTCAAGGATAATTTCTACAAACTAATTGAAAAGGATGGTATATCTGGAGATAAATTTATATTTTTAATGAGACCAATCTGAATTTTCAAATGAGCCCTGGCATCCAAGGAGGAAAGGTCTGAGAGAGTCACAATCTTGGCATGCAGCAATGCAACAAGCTACCATAAGCTCAAACTAGCGCTTATAGGCAAATAAACAATCCCCGACCTTTTGAAAACATAAAAAAGTACACTAATGGAGCCAAAACCAACTATGATCTTCCTGTTTGGTACTGGAATCAATCAAACACATGGATGAATGAAGTAATATGTAATGATTGATTTCATCAGCAGTTCATTCCATTGGTAAAACTCTATCAAGGAAGGCGATTCTCATTCTAGGCAATGCCTCATCCCATCCTGATGCAGAACAGTTATGAGACGAAGATATAAGAGTCATATTTCTCCCTCCTAATGTAACTTCTGTGTGTCAGCCAATGAACCAGGGTGTTTTGGAGACATTGAAGAAAAAATAGACATAAACTTCTTTTATCTCTTATCTTAGCCATGGGGGAAGAGTGTGATATGATCGATAAACTGAAGACGATAGATATGTTGGATGGATAGATCATTCTTAGAGTGAAATCAAGCATAAAACTATAAGCAAAAATTCAAATTATCTTATTAAATATTAATAGGTTTTACATCAGAATCACATTGTAAATAATTAAATAATCTGAATGATGCATTATATAGTGAATTTAGATCAATTTGGCATTCTCAAGTATTCGTTCATTTAAGAATTTTAGATTTATTTATAGCATTTTATAAATAATTATCAATGCTTTCTGATTATTCTCACCCCATGAAAATCTCCCAACTCATTGGCAAAAAACATTTGTTTGTCTGTCTTTAGAAGTTAACTTTACATCTCATGAATTCTTTTCATAAATAATAATAGAAAGAAGTATTTTCTAAGATATTTTGGGGGGGGGATCTACAACTAGGTAGCTGCAAGTAAATATTATTCAGCAAAATGATGCTTACATTATACACAATCCATTATGTATTTAGACCCATGTATGGTGTGCACATATGTGAATTGATTGTTGTCACGTATATATTCTGAAATATGCCGAAAACATGACACTTTATCCATATGTAAATGTTGAAATTGAGGGTGCAGATAAACAAAGTACATAATTATTTACAATATTGTTTACTTTCAATTTATTTTTCACTATTTACTTTTTTCCAATCTTTCTGGGTTTTTGCTGAAAACTGATTCAAATGTTAATTTAATATGCAGTGAGAGTGTAGCTTATGTATAAAACTGGTTTAACTGGTGTTGAATATGGCTGCACTCACTCGCAACTCATATTGGTCATGGCTTCCAAAACATGTTTAAATAGTTTTTTCTTATACTGGTCTCTCTCTTTTTTTTTTTTTTTTTTTTTTTTTTTTTGTGTGTGTGTGTGTGTGTAATTAATGCTTCAATATTTCAATTATGTTTTTGTTATTTTCTATAGTTTATTATAAATACTTGGGGATATTTTTATTACATTACATTTGTATATTATTGTTAATTTGTTAATTTAATGAGTTACATGATTTATAGTAAAACTGATGTTAAAGACTTATTTTACTGTCTATTAGAAAATAATATATTGGTAGTTGTAATCAGCTGATGGATGTGATAAGGATTAAATGGCAGAAAGTGTTATATGGAAAAGTTTCCTTATTTTCCATGGTCCAAAATCAAAAGAAGATGCGTTCATTTTATTCATTTAAAAAATAAAATTATGATCTAAGTTGGGAATTGAAAGAAAAAAGTGGTTTTAGTGTTTAACAGTATTATTAATATAATCTATGTTTCACAGAAAGCTGTTGAAGTTTTACAGTTGTGGTCTGATGAAGATGAAGTTGTGTCAGTAATGTCAGGAGAAAATGTCAAAATTAAACTAAAAGGAGTAGAAGAGGAAGTAAGTTAAAATTATTTATAATTAGTAGAGTTTTATTTTTGCTTCATGCATTTATGTTCAAGAATGACCTGAAGAATAGTTAAAATACTAACAAAATTTTTGTTATTTATTATTAAGAATCATTATATAATCTGTTTTGCTTTGTATGAAAGGCACTTTTGTACATGCAATGAAAGAGAATAGAGTATTATGTATTAGTAATGCTTTTGCTTTCTTTTGCAGGAAGTATCATCAGGTTTTGTATTATGTGATTTCAATACACCATGTAGGACAGGAAAGGTTTTTGATGCTCAGGTACTTTTACTTCTTCATAAATTTAGTGTAGTTATAACAAGGCGAGTCAAATACTATGGTAAAAAGCACTATGCTTGCTCATTGATGTATGAGACTTACAACCGCAAAAAGTAAAGAAATCAATTTCACAATGTGTTAATAATAACTATGAATGGGTATACAATAACTAGCATTAATCAGATAACATGGCTAGATCCACAATGAGTTAAAAGGAATTCTCTGTGTGGCTTTTCCAAAGTTGCTTGTCAATTTTTTAGTCGAAAACAAGAATATTGTAATCTAATCTAGTAATAACCGAATATTTTAATGAACAAGCCTGTTTTTTTCTTTCATACATTAAGCATATGTTATGTAAAATTAATAGAAAAAATGCAAAGAAATAATTAAAAATTTGATTTGGAAGTAACAGGTCCAGGAGGAAATGACAAATTTGGGAATTTTCAGATTCATATATATATATATATGAAAAATTTTATATCATATTTTAATACAAATGAAATTCGAAGGTATCTCTTTTTTGAAAATTCTGAAAAGGATAATTAGCATAATTCCCATTACACACTATGCAAAGTGCTATGATAATGTTATGAGTATTTTGTTCAAGAATTAACAAGAAAAGAACTTGTTATGTAATATAGGTCAATTGTGTGGAATCTGTTTAATTTAGAAGGTTTGCAGTATCATTGAGAAAGAAAATGAGGCACTGTATAGATATTTTGTTTTTTTATTTCTTGTGTACAGTGAATGAATTGGCAGAGTAAATTCACTTATTGCTGGAACTAAAAAATAATTTTTCAAGAATTGGATAAAAAAGCATATTTCTTAGATCAACATGTTTTTATATAAAAAATTAGTTTAAAATGTCTAATTATTGATGAAGTGTGCAATGAACTGATAAACCTCTTTTAAAATGTATGTACATTCTTTTTATCTTAGGAAATTGTAAAATGGAATTTTTTGCTTTTATTGTTTCTGCAATTAATAGAACATAGTAATTATAACAGACAAGAAAATGTGCAAAGATAAGTAACCTATCTTAGTATTAAAACTGCAATAGATTGTTTGCTGCACATAGCAGGTTTGTTTCTACATGGGATTAATTTTATATTTTCCTAAGATTTTCTTCAGATCTTATAATCTTTACGTGCAGTTATGTTTTAAATTATTTTTAGATAAATGAAATTTAGTAAGTAGCAAATTTAATAAGTATTTTTATATTTCAATAAATTTTGGTTGCTCAATGAAAATAGTGAAAGTTGTTTTGTGTGATAGTCTTATGTTTCCTGGTTCATTGTGCATATAATTAACTGTTTATTGATTTATTCCATATAGGTAGTCATACTTGAGCATAAATCAATTATCTGTCCGGGTTACAGTGCTGTTTTGCATATTCATGCTGCTATTGAAGAAGTTTCTGTTAAAGTAAGTGTTAAAAATTATCAAAATATTTTATGCTACAACTGTAAAAGTTTTTGGTACTATATAAATTTGGTAAAGTATTATGTTATGTGAAATTTGTGCTAGTCATTGCTAAGGTATTCTGAAGGAACTGATGCTGCTTTATTTTATAAACAATCTCTTTATTTGATTATATTAACTACAAAGCAGTTTATTAAATTTTGTGCCAGCTATTCTGGTGGCCAAAAATTTCTACTGAATTCAAAATAGTCATCCTTAGTTACCAGAAGGTCTATTTAGAACACTATGAGTATAAACATATTGTAGGTAGTTGTTCCAATATATTACTGTTTTGTTCACCATATCCAGCTGTTCCTTTCCACATTTAGCAGATGCTAATTCTTTAGACCTCCTGTAAATCAAGAAGTGTGCAGTCACAAATGTGCTTCTACAGTCCTTGGACCGTATTCTGTTTTGAATAGGTATTTTTGTTGCAATTTTTCATGTCACATCGTCATTGCTTACATATTTTCGGATAAAGTATCATATCATGTGTCCATTAATGCATCCCTTTATGGTAGGTTCCCATGTCCATTGTTTGCTGTTCTGTGTTGAATCTGATTATTGCAAATTTTAATCATCTATTTTTTTAAATGCAAGAAACAAATTACAGCAATAACAGTAAATTTATGTCCTTATGTATAAAAAAATTGATTTAATGAGAATCGGTTGAGATTACATCAGAGAAAAGAGCTGTGTGTTTTGTCATGCTTATACATAATTAGCACTAAACTGCACTGCTTGCATGATTGATTGGTTTGCATGGTTTCATGACTGATTGGAAGTATGTAAGTAATACCAAATTTTCATTTAAACAAGGGCTGTTCAAGGTTGATTGGGATTTTTATTTCTTCATAGGAAACAGATAGCACAAAAAGCACCAAACTATGTCAGCTTTTCAAAGTATTCTCCATGCGCATTAAGGCACCGTTGCGATCATTGTGCCAGCTCCCTGATTCCTTTGGCGCAGAAAGAACTTTGTTGCTGCCGTAGCCACTGGAGGACATCGTTCCGCAGGGCTTCATCTGTCATGAATTTCTTTCCTCCCAGATGGTCTTTAAGGGGTGCAAACAAATCTGAACTATAGGAGGTGATGGCAGAACATCCCAGCGCATGTCGGCTAGACATCTCAGGTCTTTTCTTGCAAACAGACTTTCGTACAGCACCACTCAATAATGTGGAATAATACTAGGCATTAACTAGGCTCTGTTTGTCCAGATAACACCCTTCATGTCCCAGAAAACACTTGTCATGATCTTTCCAGTGGAAGGTTGCGTTTTGCTTTTCTTGGGCTGGAAGGAACCTTTATGGTGCTTCTTTTGTTTGGTTTGAATTGTACAGGCATGTTTCATCACACATGGTGATGGATTGCAACAATTCATCACCTTCGGCTCGAAAACAATTCAGAAGCTGTTCACAGTGTGTCACCTTTGACCACTTCTGATCAAAGGTCAACTGCCGGGCAACCCACCATTCACAGATTTTGCGGAAGCGCAAGTGGTCGTGAATGATTGTCTCAACACTCCCGATGCTGATATTCACCTCAGCAGCAATATCCTGCACTGTTACTCACCAGTTCTCAAGAATCATTTGCTCAACACTTGTGATATTCACTGGTGTGACTGCAGTCAGGCAAATGTGTCCATACGCTTCATTTGTCATGAGCTCCTGTCCTTCGCGAAACTGTTCACACCATTCATACACTCTTGTCCGTGACATTGTTTAATCACCATACTGTGTTTGTAATATTCTGAAAATCCCAGCTTCTCTAACTTTGACTCCGTACGTAATTTGATTACACGCCGCTGCTCTACAACCACAGACACTTGCCACCATGTTTGCTGCAATGGTTGCACATGCACAATTTACATCATGCTGGGCACTAGTTACTCAAGAAGGAATACTTTACATCACCCTCAGGTTTCATCATGATTCACTTATTCATGGATTATTTATATACAAAAATCCTGGTCAACCTTGAACGACCCTTGTAGATTACACAAACTGATATCCTGCTGTATAAAAACTTCTTATATTTCACAATTTTTTTTTTTTTTTTTTTAATTATTCATTTTTGTAGAACAGTGTTTTCGGATTTTCATAAGTGGAGGGAATAAAACTATACTTCATCATTGTACCCTCACGAATTTCATCACTAACTTTTAAACAACAAAAATAGATCATTTGTTGATGTAACATATTGTGCTGTGGAGTACTTCATAATGCTTTGTAACGTGCTGTTTACATTTTTTAGATCTTTTTTTTTTTTTTTTTTTTATTATTATTATTATAAATTCTTGTATTAAACTTTACTTTCGTTACATAATCTTATCTTTCTCTCTCTCTATTTTTTAGGCCTTGATTTGTTTAGTTGACAAAAAGACTGGTGAAAAGGGGAAAACACGTCCAAGGTTTGTTAAGCAAGACCAGATTGCAATTATGAGACTAGAATGTGCTGGTGTTATTTGCCTTGAACCATTTAAAGATTTTCCACAAATGGGTCGTTTCACATTACGTGATGAAGGTGTGTTTTAATGTCTGTGTAATAAACATCTGAGTGTATTGTATATAAAAAGTTCATGGGAAAGTCAAGTGACACACAAGAAATTTATAGTAATAGAATTTGGTTGTTGAGAGTTAATTATTCAACTCGTTAGATATCATTAAAACATTCTGATTAAATTTTTTAAAAAATATTTAGAACTGCATTTATTGCTTTTAAATTGATTAGTTTATCAGTTAGTGACAGAGAGAGATCAAATTTGAAATTAAATATCGTAGAGAGCATTCACATGATGGTCTAGTCATCATTATTATCATAGTTTTAAGGCAGAGTTTCTTAAACTGTGGGTTGCAGCGGGGGGTTGTCAAAAATTTGAGAAGTTCTGATATTTCTTTAACTTATTATAATAATTTTACAATTAACAAATAGTTTCACATAATGTATCTGGAAATAGATAAAGGTAAACAATACAGACAAAGAAAAAATAAGTTGCACATGTGGAGAATGTAGCTTATCAAAATTGTTGACCGAATATCATTTCATGTGTCCTTCACTGTAATTAGTTGGTTGCAGTTCCTGTGATGTGACAAGGTTTGGTTGCCTAGCAATGAAGTTCATTTGATGCCACTTGTGACCACATATCTTTCATGTGAATGCTTCATTATGCTTTGCTGAATAGCTGCATAGAGTGTTATGTGAAAAATATTTAAATAGCCAAATTTGTTGATTAAATTTGAAGAAGAATATCTTACACTTTGCCAAATAGCAATGCACTGATGTACGGAAGTTTTTTTTTTTTTATTATTATTATTATTATTATTATTTCAAGCAGTGGTCAAACATTGCTTTTAAATCAGAAATTCATGTTATTCGTAGAAAATTTGAAATAGAAGCAGATTTAAAATCTGGGCTTTGACACGCGTATGTTCGTGTGTGAAGGGTTGCTTATTCGTAGTTTGTCGGCTAAAAATGCCACTGATTTTATGTGCAAGCTCCGTGCATGCATACATACATAAAGATTCTTCATTATTTAATAATATAGAGTAACGTCTTCTCCAACTACACAGTTATATAATGCAAAAAGAAGAAGCAACTTTCATTTATTGAGATGGATTTTGTACTTCAGAAAAGCGGATTTGAACATAGATGTTTAGATTTCTTTGATCAAAAAAAAGCCACAACCATTTTATTTGCTAGATTTCTTATGCTTTGATTCTACTGTTCTCTGTTATCAAGATAGTTTTACAAGCATTTTCAGGTAATTGAAGTGCCCAAAATTAACAGGATAACTATCTGTTTAGATAAGTGGCATTTTACCAGTACTTCCAAGAATATTGGGAGTGCTGTCAAGTCAATAGATTTTATTTTGAAAATGAGTGGGTAATATTTTATATTTCGGATAGAACTGTCATACAAATATTTTCCGTGAATTTATTTCACATAGTATTTATGTAATATGTAATAATGTAAAGCATATGATTAGTGTTTTGTGTTGATACATTTTTATGATTAAATTTTATTTTCAGGTAGGACAATCGCTATCGGCAAAGTTCTTAGGGTTATGGAATAAATATAAGACTTTATATGATGTGTAACAGTATCCTTCAGCTGCAAAATGAGAACTTAGTTTTGCATCTCTATTCTTTTATGCTTCCATGTTTTATATCTGACATTAAATGCAAGAGGCTTATCAGTATCCTGGAAGAGATTTGCAATAAAATTTAATTCGCTATAAAATTGCATTGGAGTGCCGTTTTGAGTACTGAGCTGTATCAGCTGCATTTATATATGGTCCTAATGTATTGTATTAAGAGAATACACTATGCAAATGTATTGTAAATTATGTAAAGTCCCTTTTGTTACTTAAATTGGCATTCCATGTTTTGAGACCTGGTTATGGTTAAGGTGCTATTTGGTCATAAGCTTCACCTTTTAAGTCCTGATAATTTAATGCAATAAAATATAATAATTATATACTATATATAAAGTGAAAAGAGACCCTTTCCCTTCCAGTTGCTTATGTTTAGCTAAAGGTTTCAATCTTTTTTTAATTTGTATGATATTTATTTTACTATTTTCAATTTTTTTTAAACAAATTTATATCTGCCTTGATTTTTATTGCTATGTGATATATCACTTCACTAAAAAAAAATTTTTGTATACTGAGGTAAATGCAAAGTATATAATATGATTATGGTTTTTTAGATAAACTGTTTTCCATCATATGGGTCATAATTCTTGTAGAATTGCTTGTTCATTCTGCATATATTGTAGATGTATGGGAAAAGGAAAACTTGTTTTTGTCAATATAATATTGTATTTTTAATTTTCTAGTTGTTTGTGTTTATTTAAGTTGTAGTGAATTGTATATTGTTTTTGAAAATTTATTTTCTTTGATGTTTTTTTGTGAAGGATTACAGGTCAGGAAAGACAATTCAATTAATTTTACAATATATCTTTAGCCCCTCTACCCCCCTCTTTTCTCAGGCTGTATACTTAAACAAAAAGTTTCATAGCGTTGAAATTATTTCTTGGAGCAAGTGTAATTAATTTTCACAGTTTGTAGTAAGTTGTACAAATTGTGAAATATTATTATCTTGTATATTTATGAAAGATAAAATTACATAAAATTTTGTAAAAACAATCAGTGCCTGTTTCATTTTAACTTCAGATTCACAATGACTTTTACATCAAATAGATGGTGTTGCTGTTTACAGTACACCTCACTTCAGGAAGTGCAATTTGTTAAGTTTCACTTTCCTGAGGAATGTACAATATGACTTGCCATGTGGCATATTTGTTACTGAGATCTGGGAATAAAATTTTGTGAAATTTTTCATTTTGTGTTGTTTATTAGAAAAACTAGTTGGGCATCTTTTTCCTTCTAACGAAATCTAGCAGACTTTAGAAGAGGAAAGATTTCATTTCACCATTGGTATGGAATTTCATTAAATTAACATATGTGCAAAGACTTTAGTACCAACTTGACTGTTCTTGAGTATACCCAGGAAAATCAAATCTGTAAACCCTGTGCTTAAAATATTTTAGTTTTGAGTACAAAATTTTTTAGTATAGTATAAAAGTTTGCCTAGATGTCTTTAAAGGTAATAAATTATTAATTTTTATATGTTTGATAAATAAAATGTTATATATTTTTCATGGGCTGTTGATAGTTTTACTATTAAAGATATTAACAGATACAACCTACTGCCATACAGAAATGCATTATTTCATTCAATAATCCAGTAAGGATTGATATATGCATATGATAGGAATTGATAAATATTCTATTAACAGATTAAAGTGTCTGTGATTATACAGCATTTTACTGTCAGATAGTCAATAAAAAGTATAACTAATCAATAAAATACAACTTTACTTTGCTGTTAATTACATTTGTGTTTAATTCTGGAATACAGTGAAACCTCGGATCATGAACATTTCAGTTCAGTAACAAATTATCTGAACAAAAATTGCTTCAAATGACAAACAGGGTCTCAAGTTAACAACTGAAGTCGACAACATGTGATTTTCAAATGTGTTTTGAGGTTATCTCTGACAATTAAAACATAGGGATGTTTGGAAACAATATTGCGTAGCTCCCTATTAACAAAGCCTGGAACCAAGTGACTTACAGAAGCATAAGTTCAGGCTGGAGGAAATTATGGCCAGATTAGGCAGAGGTATTCAGAGTTTTGACACTTAATGGAATTTTTGTTGTCTGTGATATTTTATCTCTAGATGAAGTGATGGCCTAATATGCAGATAGGTTACTGAAGGACTGTGAAAATGAGATCAGCAAGGAAGAACTACAGAAGTAGTAATGATAAGTGATTGTTAGAGAAATGTCTTCAGAAGGGGAAAAAAAGTTATCCTTGTTCTTTGTGCAAATTGGGGTAAAATATAAAGGTTCTGTGACAGTATCACCCCAATTAAGTAACGGCAGGTTACAGCGTAAGCATTTTCAGCGGCAGTGCCGTTTCTCACTTTAAAAATCTTTTAAAATCAAAGCAACAACAAATCACATTGGAAAAATTTTGAGTGAAACAGAACCCCAAGGTGTTTTAAGCAGTCAAGTGGCAAAGAAACTAGAAGTGTCTTCTAAATAATGCTTTCTAAAGATATTTATGGCATGGAATTTCACATACGAGCAATAATATCTAAATCAATCTCCAATTATACCATCCACTCATCTTTATACATGTACAGTAAAATTTAATTTTTGGTTTTTCTTGCTTAATACTGTGTTCATTATTTTTGTTTTACAATGACAGATTTTGGTTTGGGGCTATGAACTTGTGCAATAATTATTGTTGTAAAATTGAAATAAGCAATCACTTGTGGTCAAAGAACATATTAATTCATTTTACATTAATTATTTCTATGTAAAAATTGTTTCGATGATGAACTGACTTAAAAAACAAAATTTAATTTATGAACCACAAGTTCACTGTACATTAGAAAGAACTATATTTGCATTACATAACTCAAGTGTTATACTACATTTTAATTTAATTTGGGAATGAAGTATTGTAAAATATTCATGGTTCTTTTGCACTGCCTAAAAGTTGCCTTGTAACTTAAGTTTTTGCTTTGCTCACTTGTTAAGTTCCTCTAATTCAATCTGTGCTCATTAAAGAGCACATGGAAACTGCACTCAAAAGTATTTTTCTTGTAATTAAAAATATGAAAAACTCATTAGTAGTTTTGCATCAAAAAGGCTTTGAAAGGACTTGACATTACAGTAAGTGCTCCTTAATGTATTCAGATATTGTTTTTGAATTGGAAGTCGAACATGTTCATGAAATACACTTTGTTTAATATAGTTAAATCATTATAGAATGGAGTTTTTAAACCGAAGTAGTTAGCAAATAAAGTCAAAATGTTGTTAAAAAAAAAAAAGATAAGTCACCATATAGCTAGGTTTTGGTTTAGTCAACCATTTAAAATTACATAAGAATAAAAAGGTCTTAACTAGGCATAGATTTTCAACAACTGTATTAATTTCGAGGGCGATCAGATACAGATCCCACTTCTTTGGAGCAAATAAACTTCTGCATATTTTTTTGTTTCACTCCTGAAAATAACTGCAAAACTAAGGTGACTTTTCCCCCCTTTTTCTAGTTTTAAATTTACATTAATATTTAGCAAAAATTGATAAAAATTTTTATACTTGATATTTTCTTCCAATTTGAGTAAGTCCGTCATATGCAAAGAAACCCATTTTGTGAAGTTCTGATGGACAAATTAGTTTAATGAAGTTGGAATTCTTAAGTAGCCTTTCTTTTATGTGGCAAAAAATCTGTTTCCCTGTGGTTTGAGTTTTACTTTTTGATGAATGATGGGCTTGTTTTTTTAGAGAATTTTATCACTTGTAGTCACTCTAACTTCTGCTCATTTTAAAATTGTTAAGACTAATTAAAACTCGTGATCTATAATACATAAAATCAGTTTATTACACCACTGTAATCTGCTTCGAAAAATCAATCTGGATTTTGTGAGTGCAATTTCCAGTTGTTTATTCAGGAGAAGGCAAAATATTACAAAGGGCATACTGTTGATTTTATGAATAGAATTTCCAGATAAATGGCAAAGACTCTTACTAAGGAGAAAGTGAAATCTTACAAATGGCATCCATGATATTGATTCCATGAATAGAATTTTCAGTCAGGTGGTGCAATTGTTTACTTAGAAGAAAGTAAGATATAGATTGGTTATAAAAAAAACTTCCCCAATATGTGAAACTCTAGCAGGCTGTCCACTCAAAACCAATTGAAACGAAATTTCAGATATTGTTATTTGAAGGTATGCATGCCCTGATTGTGATGATTTAAAAACTAAAGCTGTCATGGTTACAGTGAAACATTTTTGAGATTTTCAAATGGCAAAACTCGTTTTTTCCCTCGAATAATTTAATTCATTGAAAAACCCTAAATGGTGTTAGAACGATTGTATGACAAAAATCGCTAACGTAAAACACTTCCGAAGAAGAGTATTGTAAAGAACCAGTGACAACACAAGAGAGGATAATGCAAAAAAAAAAAAACTTTTATTGTTGGAACATTTAAACATAGAGTCACCTGCCATAACTTTGCATTTTTGTGGCCACTTCAATCACCTTACCTGACTCCAATGAATTTCTGGTTCTGGGCTTATCTGAAATCTAAGATGTACACATCAAATTGACAAGATTTGTCAGAATTGAAAGATGGCATAAAACCTGAAGTCAAGCAGATTCCTCCTGTGATGGTATGTTCGGCATTGTTGTCAACAATCTTCCATGTGTAATACATTATCGTCTGCAAAGGTGAGCACATTGAGAACTTATAATTCCAAATAAAAGGTCTCCCCCCCTCCTCTCTTGTGCTGTCATTGGTCCTTTACAACTGTTCTTTGCAAATGTTTTATGCAAGCAATGTTCATCATGCATGTATCTTTCTATGCCATTTACGAGTTTTCAATATGCAGGAAAAAGTTGGTGTGACCATTCAAAAATTTTGAAATTGTTTCTCTATAACCGTAACCGTGAGAGTTCTGTTGTTTTAAATCATCGCAATCTCGAGGGCATACCTTCAAATAATAACTGAAATTTAATTTTGATTAGTGGAGCAGATACGCTGCTAGGGGGTTCATATATCAGGGAAGATTATTTATGACCATACTCTCTCTATATATTAGAAGGAGCAAATAAGTATATGATGAGAATATAATTTAGATATAATAATAGAGTTGGTATGATGAGAATATAATTTCCAGTTGGCATAGCTTTTTTGCAAATGATTCCATGAACAGAGTTTCAAATGGCCGAGCTGTTTTGTTTGAAGAAAGGAACACTGTCATTTCCATGGTTAGAATTTCCAGTCAAGTGGCACAATTGTTTATTTAGAACATTATTCTATTAACAGTTTACTGTCAAATGCTGGAGCCGTTTTTCGTGGAGAGAGGATTAGGATGCCAAAACATTTGATGTGTTATTTCTGAGATTTTACTCTAAACCTAATGTACTTATGTGCATTCTTTTATAACCAAGTTTTATTTTTTTTAATACATGTATATCTTGTATGCCCAACATAAAAAATGCAACGCCACCAAAAATTGGATAGAATGGGATGTCAATTGATATACAGACAGAGCATGCATATGTAAATAAATATATGAATAAAATCAATTATTTATAGAAAGATAAATTTATACAGTGCTGAAATACACAGGGAATCAGTAAGGTGTATGACCACCTGTCACTTCGATGCAAGCTGCATCTGTACGATATAAAGATTCAGTGTGTAGATAGTGTCCTGACGGATGTAAGCTGATATTCTTTTAACCTTCCTTCAAAGTTTGTCCTCGGATAATGGCTGAAGCAGAACAGACAGATGATGACAATCATGTTCCAGATATGCCAAATCAGTGAAAGATCAAGCGACATCTAGGCTAAGGAAGCAACAGGACACGTTGCAAGGCTTGTCGGCTAATGAATGTAGTGTTGTGTTGTGCTGCTGGAAAGTACCATTTTGCACCCACAAAGGTAAGATAGCACAACTGGCTGCAACACCTTGTCACTGTGTCATTTTGTCTCTGATGTGTTACGGGTAACCTGCTATATACCCCAGACCATTAAGCCATGTTGAAGAGCAGTGTTGCATTCAGCAATAGTAGTTGGATTGGTTCTATCTCCTTGATACCTCCATATTCTTAACTGGTGACCATCTTCAGACAAAAAAAAAAAAAAAAAAATCGAAACTTGTTGAATACCACGTTGTGCCATTCAGATAGCCACGACACCAACACAATTTGCATTAATGGCAATCTTTACGAAGGGCAGCTTGTGTGCAAACATGT